TAATATTATAAGTGTAGAAGGTGTCCGGGAGACTTGACCATACATGAGAGTTATATCAATTCAAATGTCTCGTTCAAATTTTGCACCAAACCGACATGCGGGTTATGTTGTCATATGACATCGTAGTGTTGATATGGACCGCTAAACGGCACGAAATTTAAATGAGCATTTGAAATGGTTCAATTATATTATATGGTCAAAACTTGTCCTAGATATTATGGTAGAATGCTAATTACAAATAAAGAGAAATTAATATTTTAGACTTAAGTGAAACAAGACATCTAAATAAAAACATGTAAATAAAAAATGTTCTCATAGTTTTGCGAAAACAAACTTTACTTTTTGCATCAAATTATATGGAATTAAATATAACATGTATGTCTTTATATTCATTCTCAATTCAGTTGCAAATTTTGTATGAGTAGGAAACTCATTTTTTGTAATCTTTTCGTAGAAGTAGAAGATGCTGACGCTTAAATATAAAATGGTAATTCCATGATATGAATGTTTATCAGCTGTAATTATACTGAAAGCATTTAATTGTATTAGTGAGTGGTCAACAGGTCAATAACGTAATCTTTTAACGTGTCTATATCGTTACCAAGAAAGACGCAATTACTAAGAAGACTGATAAACGAAAAAAAAATATACTGTATATTACATGTATTTATCATCTTATAGCCTTTGAGCACGCCAGTATCCTCAAATTAGTGTAAGACTATCGTCTTTATGTAATAGAGATGAAGGTCCGAATTTTGCTATTTCTCTTTCTCTTAACGTTTCTTTTAGCCAGTGAGTATATACGCAATTAAATTTTATATAAAATTACTTTATATATTATTATATATAAATCATTTTTTTGGATGTAACATTATCCAAATTAAACCTTTATGTAAGTGTTATATTATTATATTGATAATATTTTAAGTAACTTTTGATTGTCTAATAATTTTTTATCTACGTTAAGTCAACTTTTTAATATATCAGCGAAAAAGAATAATTTTGCTTGGATTTATTAAATCTTAATCTTTATTTTCAGATGATGTAAGTGCAGGAAGATCTGGATCCTCGCGAGGCTCGTCATCACGAAGTTCATCATCACGAAGTTCATATTCTTCTTCGTCTAAACTTGGATCCAGTTCTAGACATGAAAGTTCATCAGGTAGCCACACAACGGGATCAAGACATTACGGATTCGGAAGTTCATCAGGTGGACACACGACAGGGTCGGGCCCGACTAGCCATGGAACTTCATCTGGTGGACACATAACAGGATCAAGCCCTTTTGAACATGGAAGTTCATCGGGGGGACGCATAGGATCAAACCCAATTGGAACTACGTCGAGTCAGTACATGATATGGTTATTTTGAAAGACGAGATATTATTTATTCCAATCTTTCTGTGATTATATCAGAATTATATCTTTTACTCTTATTGTAGGTCAAACTTCGCATCAACAAAATAAAGATGCATCTTCAACGTTTTTACAAGCTGAAGGAGGAGGCGCCACACGACCCTGTAAGTATTACAGCAAATAGTAATTATAACCGTTTTTCCATTCATTTTTTACCGAATTATTCATTTTTTGTTAAATGTTTAATATGAATATTTTTGTTCCTGTAAAGCTCAAACTAATTCCGGGCAATCTAGTCGACCATCAGCACCACATGGCAATACAGGTATTATTAGCATTGATTATCTTATTTATAGTTAGAATATATTATTAGAAAGAAAGAATTTTCAAATGTTATATTAGCTGAGATATTATTTCTCATCTGTTTTCACTCATTTGTTTTTTTCTAATATAAAAAGTAATATATTATTTTTCTATTAGGAACTTATCCTGGTACTTATCGTGGAACATCAGGCTTTACAACAGAGAGTAAACAAAATTCTGCACCACATAATCCATCAGCGCCATATAATCCATCAGCACCGTATAATCCATATAGTCTATCAGCACCGTCGACTAATCATTTGTCGAAATCCACTGTCGTACCATCGCAAAATCATGGTATATACTGTTTATCATTTTCATTAAATTTATGCATTTAAATTCTTAAAATTTAAGAAATAATAGTTATCAATTATAATTACTGATTATGACAGAAAATTAAAGTAAACTAAAGAATAAATGTTTTAGCAAATATAAATAATTTAAACATAATTAAAAATTAGCAGATGTATATAATTTTCTTGCAGCTCCAACTTCTTTTAGCCAACCAAGCGCGCCTTATAACCCATCACAAGGAACTGCATTTAGTAATCCTCCATGGAGCAATCCTCATTTCAATCCGAGTCAATCTCACCCACCAGGTCCCACTTCTACTAACATCGGCTTCAAAGATCATCTGCGTCCAACTTCGATGCCCGTTTCTTCTGCATCTTACCCGCATTCTCCTTATCCTAGTTCTGGTTTTAATCCTCCTCCATATACCAGTCATCCCTTCAGTCATTCGAATCAACCTCACGTACCTCATATACCTTCCACGCACAATCCCAGTTATTCTTTTCCCAGTCAATCGTTTGGACACCCTTCGAGTTATCCAGCGCATATTCCGCCACCTGTATCAGGTACATTCGGAAATCCTTATTCTACACACCCCGTTGGCGGAACGTATGGCGCAGCTGGACACACTTATTATCCTCAACAACATGTTCTGGCGCAGCCGGCAGCACAACCATATATACCTGGACAAACGGTCATAATGGTTCCTGGTCAACAAGATAGCGGCAGAGGCTTTGGTCAGATGGTGAAAGAAGCACTTGTGTTCTCTACAATCAACGCCGGTGTGAATAGGCTGATAAATCCGCATGAACATTACGTGCAGGATTACAGTAGACCAAATCCGAGTAGTGATGCCAGTGAAACGCATATAACTTATAATAATCATTATTTTAATACAGTTCCTCCGGGTAGTATTTCTCCGGTTTCATCAAATATACTTCAAGGAAATGTTCCTGTTGCGTCTCCTGTCAATCCAAATCCTATAAACAATCCAGTTATTACTCCGGGTGTATCAATTCCTACAATTGTCAGCAATGGTAGCACAATATATCCGACTGACAATTCTTTCATAAACACAGTGGGTACAGCTAACAATATGGAAACTTCTTCAGTTTCTACTAGTAATATAGGGAATAATCAAGGAATGCCCAATCAAGGAACAGCTATTTATTCTCCGCAATATAAAATATCAGATGACGATCTATTAATGTTGACCGAAGAGTTATTCGTGAAACAAGAAGTTAACATATCCAAGTATTTGACTTTACATCTTCAGAGTAAATCTGAAAACTTAACCGATGCAGCTAAGGGACCGTAAGTTTTGTGTTTAAATCAATCACAACAATTATTCTTTCCTTATTTACACATTATACGTTTCTAGATTAATTTACGTGCAAGAAGAAGCATATGATTATCCAACGATCTTAGCTGTTCGAGCTCTGTACGACAATTACGAACACAATTCTACTGTGAAAGAAACTCATACAGCGGAAAAGCGAAAGAGAGAGTACTTTCTGTTAGACATGTTTGCGAATACGAATGTGATGGCTAGAACTATGCGATGGTTATCAGATCGAGGTTTCATCCGTCCCTATGACTTCCAGAAAGACACTTTGCGGCGTTTCTGGTTCAACACGTTTAATGGTGCTACATCAGGTTTTGAGCGAGTGTTCACATCTGAAAGATATGGTACGGAGCTTCTTGGGGTGCAGGACTGGATCTATTTTAATTATCAGGAATCGAAGAATCGTATTGATTACATGGGATACGTGGATACTATAAAGCTTGGCGACGTGAGTCATATTGTATTATATCTATAGATGTGCTATGTATGTAAAATATATATTATCGTGTCTTAATGTTATGCACGAAAAGAATATAAAAGTATATTGTAAAATTGATTATAACAATTATTTGTTTTTTGCAGAGAGCCTCATTGGTGAAATTGAACTTCCAAATGGATGATATTATTAGACCAAACGCAACGATATTCGTGGGCACGCTTCCCGAACTTGAAATGGCTTTGTACATGATATGTTTTTATACCAGGCCGAATAATTTATGTCCCGTTTCACTTGGCGGAACCAAGTTTAATATTTACACGCATTCATTTAGATATTATGGACAAGATCTTATAGATCTTGCGCTTCCTATTTTCTAATTCTGTATCATATGAATAAATTCTCGGACGTGTAAATTATTAAAATACACAGTTTGAGCGAATTTTAACAAACAATATCAAATGTAAGAATGTGTGATTAGAATATATAAATTACTTGTTTTTAGTTATTATTCATGTAATGCGACAAATCTTGTTACAATAATAAGAAATATATATATATTGCAACTTATTTGAAAAATTTTTGAGATCTTATAATAAACATAATAATTTTTTTTCTTATCTTATTCTTATATGATAAAAAATAATGTTATATTTAAAATTAAATAAACAATATTTCTATTTGTCATTATATATGTATGTAGAATTTGAGAATAATTGTAATTTTACATTGAAAAATACGATTGTTTTCCTTTTACTTCAGTGATGTTCTCTTCAAGGACGCAAAGTTCAATTTTTTCTGAAATTTGTAATATAATATTAGTTGGTAAAATATATTTTTATACAAAGCAATGTTGTTTCCAAGTAATATTAAATTTAATGAATCTCACTTCAAAAATATATTATTTTGAAATTTTATATTACAAAAAGATTTTTAATAAATGAACCTTGTAAAAAAATGAGCAAAAATAAAACATCATAAGTTTTTATTAAAGAGAGATCGGTTGGAAATTGTCTAAAAAAATTGTAGAGAAAGCGCGAGAAATCTAGAAAATACCGTACATGTATGGCTTTCTTTGAATATCTTTTAACTAATATGATCTAGATTTTATAAAATTTTAATAGTTGCTTAAAGTTGCAAAAAATTGTGTTAATAAATGAAATATTATTAATTTAATATTTCAAACTGAGAAGCGTTTAATCGAATAGCTCGACCAATTACAGTTCTGTTACAGACGCATAGGATCAGTGGAAAGAGAAAGCCTGCGAAGCATGAATCATTCAATGTTACAGGCGATGGTCACCGACGTCTAGGCCGTTCAGCATGAGGTCGAAAGGTAGTAGTCTGTCGACTGCGTGAGCAAACAGTGCGTGTCAGAGATCTTTTCGAGTTTCGAACTGATTGAAACAACAATTTGGCAAAAGTGAAGCGAGCAATAACGAATATGAGAATCAGGACGTGCCTGATCACCGTGATTGTGATTTTATTTATTTTCGGTAATGGCACATGTTATTTTTAAATAGATATTAATAGATTATAATTATTAAAGATTATTAAAGTAATAGATGAAGTTTACATGTGAGAAATATCATCAGATTTACACAAGATGCTTTTATAAATCAAGTGCATTAATAAATTCTTCGCTTAATCAATTTGTATTAAAATAATTTTGTTGAGCTTTTACAGAAAATTCTATATTTAGAAGCTATGCGTTTTGCGAATTATTTCCATATGTATATCCATTCTTAGAATGCTAACGTTTTGTGAATATTCCAGTTCACTTCATCAGGACGAAAAGTTTACGAAACTTTGGTATTTCTCAAGAATTCACGGCTCCGTTTATCTATTCAGGTAAACGGAGCCGTGAAATATGCAAAGCTTCTATTAGATCTATCTATATAGAAAATACCATAGAAGCCTCAAAAGTATTAAAGGTCGATACTGATTATTTTAACAATCATCTTAAATTTTGTTAAACTTTAGAATATGCTTTCAAAATCTATTGTGAAATGCTCTAACAACGAAATAATATTTTAATTAATCGAGAATGAAGTTTTAGTAAAAAAATTTTGTTGAAATTTTACAGAAAATTAATTGATGACTACGCTCCAAATAAAAAATCTAATTAAGTAAATTTTCCTTGAAATCAAGTTACGTGTTAACAAGGAAGCACGGAAGTTCGCGGAAATTCATTCACTTCTAACTATCTGTAATTCACGAATTACTAAACTAATTTATAGCTCACCAATTACTAGCACAGAAACGTAATTTCTAATTTAGTCAGAGAATCTCGTGTGCAATAGATGTTGTAAACTTGAAAAAACCAGTTATTTCATCATTTAAAAAAATGGATATGTTTAATTCATTAATAAACATGTTTGACTTGTGCATTTATAAGATAAAAAAAAACACTATAACATATGTGTGTATTATAGAGAGAGTAAATTAAACATATGTTGCATTTTACGACTCATAAAATTAATAATTTTTAATTTGTTCTATATTTCAAAATTTTGCGAAGTATCTTTGAAAATATATAAGAAAATAAAATGTATAGATAATGGATCAGCTGTTTAATTAGACGGTAAAAGAATAGAGGAAGCATTCTAAAAAGTCACGTAAGATTTACGTATAATGTTAATAAATTGACTAACAAATATAGACTCCGTAATAAGTGAAATCAGCAGAATAAATTGCTCTTCCATCTTACTCATACGTCATGCCATCAATGTGCTCCTCATATGGTATTATTCACTTGACAACGTTTACCATAATTGCATTACTGCGTTTATGATACTAAATTGGAGATTTTCATCGAAAGTCACGTACGAAAACTGTTTTGTCAAATTTAATGTTGCATAAACAGTAAAAAAAAAAGTAGAAATTTTTTCTTATAATTATAGTAGCTTTTTTAGGATTGCAAAAAATTACGTATAAACTTAAAAACGACATACATATATATAATTTATAATAAGCTATATCGATATCAAAATAATTATTAATAAAAATTGTCGTTTTCATTACCGAGAGAATTTAAAAAATGTAAATGGACTTGATTTTGAATATATCTTTTATCTTTCTCTCTTGTATAATGTGCGCACGAACTCTCAAAGGTATTCATCGTAATACATAATATTGAGCCAATGAGTGAACAGGCAATTGCCTACATTATATAATAATCTGTTGAAGAACAATAGGCTTGGCAATCTGTACCGGTGTCGAATCGCGAGAAATAAAAGAGGACACCAAGTTCTATACAGATAGCTTAATAAGCACTCAATCAACGTGTTTTATGACGCAGAAATCTATCTAACATCTCGATTCATTCTAATATGATTCTATTTTTAATAGTTTTCACAGTAGAAAATAATTGAGAATATTCTGAAGTTTTATAATACGTAAAAATTTGTTTGCATATGTGTATAAATTTAAATTACAAAAACTCTATCTTTAGCTACATTTTGTTTCTCTTATCCTAAGTTACAATACTCTAACAATAAGTTATAATTCTCCTTAGTACTCTCAAGAATTTCCCTTTACGATAAAATAACATAAATGTCGATTTAATTTTTAATATTTAAATACTGATATACGAAAAGGAATAAATTGAATTATGTATAGTAATGATTAATCATAGTTGACAATGAGACGAAAGACATGTAGTTAAATGTTGAAATTATTGCATACAATAAATTGCATGTATGATAATGTGCTTACAGCGGACACAGATGGTCGTAAAACCAGCGGACGGAGGAGCGGTAGTAGTGGATGGGGCTCCTCTTCCTCTCGAAGGCGAGGTACTTCTCAGAGAACAACTCAACGGCCACAGACAGGTATGTAATATCCCAAACATTCAGCGCTTACAAAACGTTAATAAAGCGCTAAAAAAGCGATTATATGCATATAATCGCTTTTTTAGCGCTTTGCAAACGTTACCATGCTATGTGGGATTATATTTAGGTACATTTTATCACTACATATTTTTATTATTATTATTATC